CCACACGTGCCTCGCAACACGCAGGTGGTATTTCTGGCCCTGCGCTTTCCACCCCAGTCAGGAATTTTTGGACGCCTCGCAGGGCGCATGAGGACACCGAAGAAAAGGAGTTCCTTCGGCAGTTAATCCAGGACAAGGAGGAGCAAGCTAGGAGACGTGRGATGGAGGAAAGAAGGAAGATGGATGAGTTGATCAAGCAGGAGATAGAAAGGAATTCGGAGGCGTTAGAGGCTAGGGTCATGACGCGGATTGGGAGGCAGTACTTGGTATCAAGGGACGGCGCCGGAAGGGAAGAGCTTCGTTCCCCGYTGATCCGCACACCGCGACCTATCTACAAGGAGAAAGAGTATGGCGACGACTCTGACATAGGATTGGAGGAAATTGATGACGAGATAGCTAAATTGTACGAGTTGCGCGAGAAGAAGCGTAAAGGTAAGATGGCTATGGATGGATCGCAGCGTGGTTTCCGGCGACCCCTTTTTAGGGGTGATCATGAGGATGTGCCCGCCGCRGGTGAGACGTCCAAGCAAGGGGAAGATCGTGGGAGGACGAAAGTAGCTGCGGGGAGTGGCCCGGATGGTGTGTTGGATTTTGTACTTACCCAGCGGAGGTTGTTGATGCGCAAGAACAAGAACCAGCTGAAGGTGATCTACAACCAGGAAGGAGTGCAGTACACTATGAAGGAACCGACTATTGATAAGATTATCGAAGTCCGTACAAAGCTTGCCTATGAAGGTTTCATCTTCACACCTGCTACTCCTGATTCTGGTTTGGATGATGATCACACTCCGCTTAGATGAATCGGAAATTTTTCTAGAATGATGCTCTGGAAGAATTTGTTGCATTRCATGGAGCTCAGGAATCGAGCATGGGAATGGGGAGGTTCGTCTAGATTACGGACCTTGTATGATAAGTGCGCTACTCTGTGCTTTGTGGCTCTTTCGTTCATAGGTGAGATCGTATGGATGTCTAAATTTTGGTCTCTCCTTTTGGATGTTCACTGGGATCTTTGGGAAACGGGGTCTGTCGTTTATCAGCTTTCATCTCCCTGGTGTAGAGCTCAGTACATCGGTTGTTCAGTACGCGTCATCATCTTACGATGGGGGGAGCATATACGTACGGCTCGTTCCACTGGTTTGGGATTATGCCCGAAGTTGTACCGCTGGCTGAGAGCAGTCGGCATAGGTAGGTATGTTACGGTGCCATTGGTAAACGGGGTGGAGGCGGTTGATTCTGCAGAACGGACCCTCATTAAGAATTTTTGTCCTGCTCTCAATCATAGGCGCAAGGTGAGAACGCATCCGGATCGGGTCCGCCCTTGCCGTAAGAAGAGGGTCGGCAATGGGGGGACGATTGTCCATGTCGGGCTTATGAAGTTTCGTCTGGGTACGGGTCTCTAGCATGACAGCCTCCTCTCTGTGTTTTACTCTCTCTGGGTGGATAGGAGGAAGGAGGTTGTTATTGAATTCTCTTCGTGGAATGTGTGGGCGGACGGTTGGGCTCTCCTTCGGCGTTGTTTTGGGCATTCGATTGTTTGTCTGGGGGCCTGTTCTTTCTACCTGAAGGAATTGAAGGAGCCTTTTCAAGGGGGTGGTACTTGGTTTTTTCGTTCTGTTGTTTTCACCCCAAATGGCAGGATGCTTTGTAAGTCCCAGCTACGTTTGTTGTTGCAGCAGCCTTGGAGACAGCGATTGCTTCGTTTTAAATCGATTGGGTTTTTGTTGCGATGGTTTAAAGCTGCTCGGAGCTTTACGGGTAAGACGGCACGCACTACCTTGAGGGGGGTGTTGGCACGGTCCATTAAACAAAAAGATTGGTATAGATTTGCGTCGCAGGGTGGTTGTGCGTATGCCTTATGATCATCGACTGGTTTCCTCC